GATGATGAAGATGTCATCAATATAGCGCAAGTAGAGTAGGGGCTTTAGGGGACGAGAGCTGAGGAAGCGTTGTTCTAAATCAGCCATAAAAATGTTGGCATACTGTGGGGCCATGCGGGTGAAGGTCGCTATCTTAAAACAAAAATACTTCAAATCCAGACTCCAGCGAGAAACTGCTGAATTGGAATTCATTTGCAAATTGGATACTATTAATTTAGGCTTAAATAGAGACTGGGAGTGGCTAAGTCATTATGCAAGGTAGCCTATTTCCTCTTGTTTTTTCCTACCCCCCCCCCCCCAGATGTTCTGGTTTAACTTGGATTTAAACTTGGAGAGTGGTCAGTTTGGATGAGCTATTACCAGCAGGAGAGTGAGTTTGTGTGTGTATGGGGGTGGGGGGGATGTGAGAAAACCTGGATTTGTGCTGGAAATGGCCCACCTTAATTATCATGCACATTGTAGGGAGAATGGTCACTTTGGATGAGCTATTACCAGCAGGATAGTGAGTTTGTGTGTGTGGTTTTTGGGAGGGGGGTGAGGGGGTGAGAGAACCTGGATTTGTGCAGGAAATGGCCCAACTTGATTATCATGCACATTGTGTAAAGAGTTGTCACTTTGGATGGGCTATCACCAGCAGGAGAGTGAATTTGTGTGGGGGGGTGGAGGGTGAGAAAACCTGGATTTGTGCTGGAAATGGCCCAACCTGATGATCACTTTAGATAAGCTATTACCAGCAGGACAGTGGGGTGGGAGGAGGTATTGTTTCATATTCTCTGTGTATATATAAAGTCTGCTGCAGTTTCCACGGTATGCATCCGATGAAGTGAGCTGTAGCTCACGAAAGCTCATGCTCAAATAAATTGGTTAGTCTCTAAGGTGCCACAAGTACTCCTTTTCTTTTTGCGAATACAGACTAACACGGCTGTTACTCTGAAACACTGAAAGATGAAACTGTGTTGGGGACAACCAGAGACAGAATGGATGAGTTAATATCTTTTATTGGACAAGCTTCAGTTGGAGAGAGAGAGAGAGAGAGAGAGACAAGCTTTTGAGCTTACACAGAACTCTTCTTCAGGTCTAATATCCTGGGCCCAACATGGCTATAACAACACTGCATACATGTTTCATCCAGCTTATTTTTATAGTGTAGCTGGGACCTTTGAATAACTAAAACAAAAAATTGGCTAATGTGAAAGGTTGAGGCTTTCCAGAGCTGTCCAAAAACATATCCTAACTGCTACATTCTTGATGCTTATACAGCTTTTCATAACTGTTTATTGTTCTGGGAAATGAGAAAGGACTGTTTACACAGTAGCTACAGTAACATGTGGCACAAGGCTGCTAACTCTGTGATGAAGAATGTTTTCATTAGGAAACCATGGGATAGTTCTCCCATTCCTAATCTAAATTTTCAGATCATGCTCCTTGTCATGATGCCTGAAAGTGGGGGATTTATATGGAAAACTCCTAGGAAACAGCTGTGTAAAAGTTCCAGCAAACTTTATTCATGTGACAATTTGCATTATTTGGCACGCTAGAGAATATTTTGTTTTGAGCTCTTGTGTTAGAATGAACCCCAAAACACCAAGCTCTGATTGGTTTGGAGTCAAAACCATACCGCCCAGCATAGTTCCATCCAAACCTTAACTTGCCCCGATTTGCTCAAAACTCAGTTTAGGTTCAACTTTTCAGAAAACCTGGCACATGGTTTGCGATATTATCAAAACCCCAAACTGGTTTCTTTTGGGGGGATGTGTTACAGGATGACTCCTCCTGGAGCAGCCTCTTGTGGAAGTGGGTGGCAGAACAGGTGCATCTACCTCAGTTTCCCTCCTTCACAGTCCCCAGTAACTCCATGCAACCTCTCTCGCCTCAGGAATTCCCCTCCTTTGGGCCAGTTTATTTCACTAACAAAAACCCCAAATCAGACTCTATTTATCACACTCAATGCCTATAGTTCTTGAAGTCCCATGACAGCTAGTCCCTTGATGTCCACATGCCACATGCTGGTGTCTTGTGCCACATCTGGGCTCCTCTTTGGTCCTCTTCTGTCCTTCTGCCAGGACAGCCACCCCAACCCAACTGAAACCCTGCTCTTCCCAGCTGGAACCTCCACCCCTCTCTGCTGATAGTGCCTCCTTCCCAGGAGAACATCCATTACTCCCCTCCCATTCCATTAACCTTTTGTCTCAGATGGGCCAACAGGCAGTCCTGTCCACTGCTCCCGTGGCTCCACCTGGCTCCAGCATGGAGACATCAGCAGGTAAACCCTTCGCTGCTCCCTCTGCCTTCAGCCTTCTGCTTTGGCTTCAAAGTCAGCAGGCAATTCTCTCAGCTGCCTTCTGTCCTCACCAACTATCAGGCCCTGGCTCTCTGGCTTGGGGAGGTCAACCGTCAATCCCTCTTATTGTTCTCCTGCCTTCCCCCAGACCTACAACTACTTTCGGGACTGCCTACAGTCTCCTGGTCTCTGGCAGCTCTCATATACTAATCTCTCCCCTCAACGGCTCATGTGCTCTCTTGTAAGACCAATTGGGGTCAGTTTGCTAGTCCAGTCCTCTTCTCTCTTAAAGGGCCAGTGTCACCCTGTGACTGGAAGTTATGGTGAGATTTCAAAATCAGGCTTAATATGGGAAGCTAACTTCAACTTTGGTCTCAAAATGTAGTTGTAAATGGGGAATTGTCATCGACCAGGTGCGTTTCTAGTGGGGGTTCCACGGGAATGTGTTCTTGGCCCTATGCTATTTAACGTTATTATCAATGACCTGAAGAAAACATAAAATCACCACTGATAAAATTTGCAGATGGCACAAAAATTGGGAGAGTGGTAAATCATGACAAGAACAGATCAGTAATTCAGAACAATTTGGATTGCTTGGTAAACTGGGTGCAAGCAAACAATATGTGTTTTAATACGGCTAAATGTAAACATATATAACTAAGAACCAAGAAGGTGGGCCATACTTACAGGATGAGGGACTCTATCCTGGGAAGCAGTGACTCTGAAAAAGATTTGCGGGGGTGGATAATCAGCTGAACAGAGCTCCCAGTGTGACTCTGTGGCCAAAAGAGCTTATGTAATCCTGGGATGCATAAACAGGACAATCTTGAGTAGGAGTAGAGAGGTTATTTTACTTCTGTATTTGGCAACTGCTACTTGAATATTGTGCCCAGTTCTGGTGCCCACAACTCAAGAAGGATGTTGATTAATTGGAAGGGGTTAAGGGACTAGCCACAAGAATAATTAAAGGATTAGAAAACATGCGATAGACTCAAGGAACTCCATCTATTTAGTTTAACAAAGAGAAGATTAAGGGGTGACTTGATTACAGTCTATAAGTACCTACATGGGGAACAAATATTGAATAATGTGCTTTTTAATTTAGCAGAGAAAGGTATAACACAGGAATCGGCAACCTTTGGCACACAGCCCATCAGGGAAAGCCACTGGTGGGCCGGGCCGGTTTGTTCACCTGCAGCGTCCGCAGGTTCAGCCGATCGCAGCTCCCACTGGCCTGGCGGGCCGCGTGCAAAGGTTGCCGATCCCTGGTATAACATGATCCATTGGCTGGAAGGTGAAGCTAGACCAATTCAGATTAGAACTGGGGCATACATTTTTAATGGTGAGAGTAATTAATCTTCAGAACAATTTACTCAGGGTGTGGTAGATTTTCCACCACTGACAATTTTAAAATCAAGATTGGATGTTTTTTTCCTAAAAGCTCTGCATTAGGAACTATTTGGGGGAGGTTCTATGGCCTGTGATATGCAGGAGGTCGGACTAGATGATCACAATGGTCTCTTCTGGCCTTGAAATCTATGAACTCTGGGGCAACTGTCCTGTCAGCACAGTGATGTAGGTATATTACATTGGTAACGGGATGGACTGGTAGTGCTCAGCCTGCCCTGAGAACTGCATGGGCAGATCCCGGCACCTGTACAGAGCCCCTACTGAAGTCAACAAGGCTCTGAACAGGCTCAGGGCTTTGCCCATATAGTTCTCAGCACATGACTGAGGCCTATCTAATGTTTTCCATCTCTAATCTCTGTGATTATACAATAGGTCTTTAGTTCCCTAAATGCATGAAAGTTCTTTAAACTGATGTAACAACTTCATTAGAAAGGAGGGATGATCCAGAGGTTAGGGAGCTAGCTGGGATTTGGTTCAGTTCAATTCAGTTCTGGCACAGACTTACTGTGTGACCTTGAGCAAGTCACATAGGGCTTGTTTATACAGAGAATTGTTAGTATGTGGCAAGCTGAGATATAAATCTACAGTGCACCGTGTACTAGCCTGCTGCAGACTAACTGTCCATGCCGATCCTAACTCCTGATCATAGGGTGCTTAGAGCTGCTGTGCACTATGGACTTCTAGTGCATGAGAGTGGGGGCCCCAGGGTCAGTTAGTGTACAGCAGGCTAGTGTGCTGTAGATTTACACCCCAGCTGCTGCATACTAAGTCGCCATATAGACAGGACCTTGATCTCAGTTTCCCATTTGTAAAGTGGGGCTAATAGCAGTTTCCTAGCTGACAGAGGTGTAATGAAAGTAAATATATTATAGACTGTGAGGTGCTCAGATTCTATGGCAATGGGGCTATATACCCTACCTAGATTACTTAAAGGAACTGAGATTCTGTTATATACATAGACTAATAGAAACTTCCTAAGTGTCTTTATTAAGCCCTAAGCTCTCATGTGATAAATAAAACTTACTTGAAAATGAGGCTTTTTTATTGTTCAGATATTTATAATAAAATACTAATAGTTAAGCAGTGTAATATCCAGAGGATTCCAAAGCACTTTACACAGATGGGTAAGTATATATAAATCTCAGCTGTCTCCAAATTAAACAGAACAAAGGGATGGGGGTTGCTAAGAGCAAGGCAGCTCCTTTCCATTCCAGGTCTTGTGTGACTGTAATTACGCTGCCTTAAAAGGCTGGATGCACTGAGGTGTTGTGGTTCTTATCTCCTGTAGATGGCTGGTTCTTTGGAGATAGTGTATTTATAGCTCATCTAGCTAACAAAGGCCTGACTGTCTAATTACTAAATACATAGTTTGGGTAATCCAATGCAGCAATAAGCCGCTGCACTAGTTCCTGTACTCTCATTCTCAGACTAGACAGCAGAAGAATCACCAGGCTGCAGCAAGGTAAGAGCAAATAACAGTTTCTTTACTGTCCTTCCTCCTCGCCCCCAGAGGGGAAGTAGATTGTCAGCATTCTATGTATAGATGGTGAGCTAGATGCTTCCCTCTTACAGGGAGTGGATATTGAATAGCTTGTTTATTTCTTGCTGTCTAACAAAGTACATGTACCATTTTCATTTCTCTAAGTTGTCAGCCTGCTGGTGGGAGCCAGGTGCTAAATAACCATTGCTCTTTACATTTCAGCACTAATAATATAGTGTCATGTTTTCATGTTGTGAAAGATACACCCATCTGTATAGCCACTTTCCTTCGCTGGAATAGGAAATTGAATGACTTTAGGCAGAAAGCTCTTGATACATTTTTCTCTGTCAGCACCTTCTCCTTGACTGATGAATATTTGGAAACTGGATGCAAAATCCAAAGAAGGACCATATTGCTGTTCAGCTTTTTCTCTTTGACACCATTTCCTAATGGCCTGAGGCAAATTACAGATGATGCTGATTACATGTTTAAACAATTACTTATGGATTATGGCAACTGTGCAAAAGAAGAAATTGAAAAGCACTGCTGTGTTACTCAAGTGTCAAGCAGGAATTCTTCATAACTAACGTGTGAAATAGCATTAGCAATACCTGCCAAACTTCAATTATCAGTTTAACGTTACATTAAATTATCGTTATCCTGATCTCTTGAGAGTGCTAATTTTCAAGTGAAGTCTATACAAGGAAACCTCTTTGGAAAAATAAGATTGTTTGCATATGTGTATAGAAGATTGTGTGTATTTTCATTTACATACTCACAGTTTTATATAGAATAATTCTTTTATTGAGAGGACCTTTCAACCAAGGATCTCAAAGTGCTTTACATGGACAAGTAAGAATTATTGCCCAGACTGTACATCTAGGGATAAAAGCCAACACTTACAAGTTTTGTGCCCCAAGGTTATTTACCATACTATTATTGAGGGATTGAAATCAATGTAGGCTGATTTTCAAAGTTCCAAGCTCCCAGGTGTTTCATCAGCATTGTAAATTCTCAGCACTTCTGGAGATCAGGACACTTAGGGCCTGATCCAAAGCCCACTGAAGTCCATAGCAATATTTCAGTTGACTTCCTGCATGTTTTTTCCAACAAAAACTAAATCAACATAATCCTACAGTAAACATCCCAGTAACCAAGTTACAATACAGTATTCATACTAAAGAACAGCCCCACTTCCATCAAAATAGTGTCTTGCCCTGGTCTTCAAATCCCCAGTTCCCGGGTCTAACCTCTAGGCAGAAACAGAGAGAAATAAAACAATCATTCTTGCTAGGCAATTATTGTTAATATGTCATCAGCTTTGCATATTGACCCTTTCTTGGGATTTTTATTCGCCCTTAACAAGCAACAAGTGCAAGGATCCACAATGAAGAATTGGAAGTTTGATTTTACAGATGCTTTCTATAAGTGTCTGGCCCAAAGATGAGTTTACATTTTATGTTACTTTGAAAAAAATGCCAGTGTGATGCAGGGATATTTTAAAAGGGAATTTAGTGCTTTTCATTGCATTTGATTTTAAAAGTGAAATTTGTATATACAGAGAGAGAAAAAGAGAAACCAAAAATTAATCAATTTAAAAAGCAGCCTTAACAATAATTCTTTGTTAATAACTAGCATTTGAAAAATATGATTAATGGATGAATAACTTTGTTTTTCCCTTCCAAATATCCAACTAATCAGAACAAGGCAAACTTTTGACAGTAGCTGGCAAGAGGTGTGGTGAGAGTAAATCCATTAAAACAGTTGTTCAATATAGAAACTCTAAAGGGCTGTTTTATAAGGAAAAAAAATAAACAGAGACCATAGTTTGGGTGAAATCCTGGTCCCATTGAAATCATGGGGAATTTTGCCCAAATCTCCCATTGATTTCAATGAGACCATAATTTCACCCTTTTCCTTTTATTTTAAATGGCACTGAGCTTGCACAGGTGTGTAACAGTACAAAATGTTAATATTTTTCTCTACTGTTCTTCCTTCTTTTTAGCTAAATGAAAAAAGTCTGATCAGACCATAGGAAGTTAGTAGTATCTGAACTGCCTCAGACAGTTGTTTTTACGTTAGACTAATTATTACTGGCTGTAATACTTTATCTTTATCTTTGTATCCTGGTGAGTTCAGTCCGACAATGATAAATCTAGGGCAATTTCAACAATGTCATTTCATCATACAAGACTGATTAGTTTTAGGAAGTTTGGCTGCATATTATACATAGTCCCTACTTTTTAAAAAAAGTGTGACCAACTTTACATATTTTCTATAGACTATTTCTCTACACAAACATAGAAGGAAGAAAAGTTAAATGATATATATTTTAAAGGGACACTGTGAATTTTTAAAAAACAAATACAAATACAAACCAAACTTCTGTTGGAAATTGATTGGCTGATTATGATTACAATTATTACCTCAGATTACTACAACTGAAAGTGATTAGAAGAAAAAGTATTTTCCTTCTATTTTTCAGTTTGTTTACTTTGTGCCTTTGACAGCATTTTAAGTGTAATTCTCTGTGTTGTTCTTTCATATGGCAACAGGGGAGAGTAAAGGATGTCTAAAAAATAGGAAAATATGATTTTCCAAACCACATTGTCACGTGCGTACAAGCGGAGCAGAGGTAAATTCTGAAACTACTTCTAACATTTAAAATATATATATATATTCAAGTTAGAACTTTCCCTTTAAAACTGATACTGAATTCTAACTACTGAATTTTAACTTTTTTTTTAATTTAAATTTGCGCATCTTCCCTTGTAGGAAACTAGGATTTCAGTGTAACGTAGATGGCATGCTTCTGATTGGCAGTTTGCAGCTAACAAAGCAAAGTCAAACTCCTCCACAGGACTGTAGCAAAAATCAGATGTATCTCATTTGACTTCCTACATTATTAATGGATAAGGCTACAATTTTGGACATTTTTAGTAAATTTCATAGCAAAGGTGCAGGAAAAAATAGATAAGTCCCAGAAAGGTCACCAAATATTTCCCACCTTGCTTGCACTTGTTGTTGACATTTTTTCACCGCAGTTTCACTCCAGTGTTCAGAAGATGCTGAAAGGTTGGGGTATGTGTGTGTGTGTTGAGGGCCTGAGTCTGGATCCCCTCTCCGTGCATTGCAACATGGCACACATGGTCACAGCACCACTTAGGTTTGGCCTATGTGCTCCCTGTAGGTGGAGGGGCAGATGGGCCAAACCTGTGTGGCACTGCAATCCCATTTGCCAGGTTGCAATGCCACTTTGTTTCACAGACTTTATTCAATTTGCGATTTCCATGACCTGTGTGACAAAATAGTAGCCCTACTAATTAACATCACCACCCAGTAACCCACTATTCTGCCATTTATCTAACCCTGAGTACTTTAACTCCGAAAGTACAAAGGACATTATCACAATGCAGTCCTATCTATCTGTTTCCACTGATGCTGTGGCAAGATGGGGAAACAAAGGGGCACGAGACTCACCTTCTGAAATAACTGTTAGCTCTAGGAGCTGAGAAGGGTTTGGAGGCTGTGTAGGGCCCAATAAGGGACAACAGGAAAGCCCAAGTGAAGTTCTGTTGTCTGGCACCAATGGTGCAGAACAAAGTTAGAGAGAGAAAGGCAGTAGCAAACAGCTGCATGCTGCAGAGAGGGGCCGCTGAGGGTAAGAGGGAGGGGCGTGACTCAAACTGTGTGTGTGGGGTGAACCTTTAAATTGCACTCCCCACCCCCATCAGCACGTACCAGTCGTCTCTACCTGTGAGATAGAGAAGTATTATTATCTCCATTTCACAAATAGGGAATGAAGAGAGACTACGTGACTTGCCCAAGGTCACACAGGACGACTGTAGCAGAGCAGGGAATTAAACCCAGCTCTTCTATGTCCCAGGCTAGTACTAGTCACTCCTCCATCCTTCTACTTTTGTGAACCAGGATGCTTTCCTGAATCCTGAGGATGAGGACAGCAAGTGTCTTCCCAAGGAACATATTGCAAAACTGATGCAATATGGAGTCATTGTAATAATACAGATGTGACCCACTTCCCTCTCATTGTTCCCTTTTGTCTTCTTTCGCTTTGTAATTATTCTGGTTTTTTTTTGTTTTTGTTTTTTGGTGAGGTGAACTGGGCCTTTCTTATTGCTCTAGCTCCACTTCCTAATGCTGTTTTCAACTCTTCAAGGCAGGTTCCAATCTGCGGGTCTGGGAGTGCAGAAATGAGCAGGTTGTGTCAAAAGAAGGCGGTGTTGGTGGGAGAAACACTTTTAGTCATGAATTCTTCCTTTTCAGCTGGAGAAAGATTGTAGTTGCAGTAGGAAGCAATACTCTACAGAAACAATTACACCTTATAAGTGAAAAGGAAGTGAAACACAGAGAATAGATTCAAGAGAGAGGGTGCCGGAGGCTGGCTTTCCTGTTACACGTAGGACCCTGTTAGCAATTGTCTGTGTTTGAAGGTCTGGGTGACTCAAGAGCCTGGCAATGGAATACAGAGCCCCTAACATCTAAATCGCCTCAGGTTTGTATCCAGCCCAGATCAGTAGTGACTAAAAGCTATATCTGATGGTCAACTCAGTCCAGTTCCTACTGGGCTGGTGTGCATCTCATAACAACCACCGTCAAAAACTGGCAACCTTGTTGGCCATCTCAACAGAGGCAAAGGACTGAACAGGCAGAGAGCCTGGACTACTTTATCCTGCTACAGGTGATCCTTCCAGTTCAGGGATCTGGTGGTAGCAGTCTTTGGGGTTGGCAATCTAGTACTGAATTTTCTTTGTTTCATGCACTATGTGATTCTGTAGAAATTTACCTCAGGGTGTTCTTCATAATTTTTCATTTCCAAAACCCAAAAAGTCATAAAACTATATTTGTGCACTAATCACCAGCCAGACTTCATTATTTGAACAGAAATAATTTTAAAATTAGCTAAATAGAAAATAACATTTTAAACCAGCGAGTGTAAATATATATATCTAAAATGTTATTTTCCATTTGGCTAATTTTAAAATATAATAGATATAGACAATCGCCTCATAAGAACAGACACATTTATTTTAAACTTGTAAGAACATTGTACTTTTGGGCCAAGAAGTCTAGAATAAGTTTCAGGCCTCTGCACGTTTATACCACCTTATATATTTTTGCAAAAATGAATCTGTGATGGAAGTACTAATAGGTTTTCTAAACAGACAATCTGAATGGGATTTTGCCTGATCATTGGTGCTATCATGGCTTGATGCCATGAACTGGAACAATATGTTTTTACTGAACCACTTTTCAAACATATCAAAGCAGCTCCAGTGACAATGGCTGTTGACCACCTAGAACATAGGATTCTGTCATTTTACACTTTTTTTTAACTTCCTTTCTTTGTTTGCTAAAGTAGTAATGATTTTTTTTTAATTTAAACATTAAAAAGAAACCATTTTCCTGGTAAAGGTAGGATGTGGTTTCTGATCTTTTAAAACATGTTGCAGTCAGCTTTGCCCTCACAAAACACCTCTGTTCCTTTGCATTCCCGTGCTCAGTCTTAACTCTTCCCCACTGCACCCAGGCTGAAAATCCAGTTCTCTTCCAAAAAGAGACTGTAAAAGTGGCCTGGCAGAGTTCCACGTTTATCACTTCTCAGTGATTTCTACACTAAGCATGCTCAGTTTACCCAGATAATGACGGATTTACTGGCAGCCTTGCAAGGTCAACCTGGGACCTGAATGTCAAGCTGCTTTTTTTTCTAGCTCAGGGATCACCACCAGGAATAGAGTATCTCTTCAATTATTTGTGCAACCATGTTATCATCAGATTCTGCCCTCAATCTTCTGCAGGGTTATAAATGTGTAATGAGAGCAGACTTTGTCTCTGCAGATAGCACTTTGTTAACTAAGTCTGGTAACAAGGTACTCAAAGGAGAAAAAAAAAACAGCCAAAATGATATTCTAACATGAGAGACCTTGGAGTTCCTAACTGGGACACAGCCCGAGGCCCTCCATTTTTAATCAGTCCTCACTCAGGCAAAACTCCCACTGATTTTGGTAAGACTTTTGCTAGAGAAAGGACTTCAAGATTTGTCCCACTAGCATTACTGAGCTTTGTGATAATAAAATTCAGGTTTAGTAAGATGTCACAATTGTAAATAAAACCATAACGTTTTTGTAGTGTAAAGGAATATAATGAGGAAATCACATCACTATCTATGAATATTGCAAAAACAAATCTACCAGGACTAGCAATAGCTGTGTCAATACAGTAACATACAGCTTTACACTGTAAAGAGGAACTAGATTTACTACTGCAGTTTCACCTTACAGTATAGACAAAATCCTGTTATTGTCATATGTGACAAAGTGGGAAATAGCTGTACTATTTTAATGGATATGGTGAATATCTGTGTGTTTGTTTATGATGGGTTACTTGCTATGGAAATGGATCAAAGGGATTGGTAGAGGAACCAAGCAAGGAAAGTAAAACAATGACACAGATGAGAGTCCTTGAGGAAAAAATAGGGAAGCTGTTAATTAGGAAATACTTCCTACCTGGCCCCATTCAGGTTAGAACAGTTTTGTATATTAAACTGTTACAGGACCCCAGCCTACAGGGTTTGAATGAGTTGAGAGAAGCTGCTCAGGGAGCATCGGTGAGTACTGATAGGGATACAAGAGACCCTCTGTCAATCCGAGTGTATGTCTACTCAGCAACTAGACACCTGTGACTGGACACCCGTGGCTGGCCCGTGCCAGCTGACTCAGGCTTGCAGGGCTTGGGTTGCAGGGCAGTTCCACTGCTGTGTAGATGCCTGGCTCGGGCTGAAGTCCAGGCTCTAAAGCAGGGGTGCCAGAACAGGGGGGACCAGGGGGCCATAGCCCCACACGTTTTACCATCCATAAGGCAAGTAACAGGCAGGGGAGAGGCGGCAGAGAAGAGTAAGTGGGGGTGGGGAAACAGTGGGGCCACAGTTCGGGCCCCAGTGGCCTCCCCACTTTTAGGAAGCTTTCGCTACTCCTGCTCTAGGTCCCTGTGAGGTGGGAGGGTCCCAGAGCTCAGGCTCCAGCCCGAGCCCGGACGTCTGGACAGCAGGGAAACAGCCCCGCAGCCCGAGCCCCGCAAACCCAAGTCGGCTGGCACAGACCAGCCATGGGGTGGTTTTTTTGCTGTGTAGTCAAAACCTGAGAGGCTGGGTCTGCCACAAGCAGGCTGTAACTTGGTCCCCAAGAAAATAGAGTGGCACCAAGGCTAAGTCATGTCTACCAAGGGGCTTGAGGTGAATGCCAAGCACGGGGGAGGCAGCAGGTGTTTAAGTTTCTTGTTTTAAATACACTTCGGAGAGTGAATAAATCATACTTTGTTTCAGGGACGCTGCTTCCGTGTCACGGCACACTGCTCCTGTCCACAGGCTCCAAAGGGAAGCTATTTCAGGTGCCACGCCCATTGGGGCTGCGAGGTGTCACAGTTGGCAACTGGGGGCAGAGCCGTAACTAAGCATTTTAGCGCCCAGGGCGTGCAGCCATATTTTCACCCCGAAGCGGTGACGCGTGGTGGGGGACATGTGGGGTCACATGGCCCCCCACCCAGTTTTCTGCCTCCTATTTAGCACAGAGGTTTTCAAACTGTGGGGCACACCTTCCTAGGGGGATGCGCCCCACAGTT